AATGGAAATGGTCATCACTAACTTATAGTAGGTGTATAAGGATCCCAGGGTTAAGGGCCCATACTAGGGGCCCATGGTTTCAACCTTAGATGGGCCAGGACCGAAGTTCGGATGCCAGCGCCGCCACACAGTGCCCCGTCGTCTCTTGGCCAAGTTTAGGGTTTAGGGTTTAGGGTTCAGGGTTTAGGGTTGAGGGTTTAGGCTTTTTCACGAGGGGTCCATGACCATGTTGGGTACTTCTCTAAATCAGGGTCCCTGCTAGGGTCCTTTAAAGGGGTGCCGTACTATCTTGGGGGATCAAGAAGGGGACCCTAATTTAGAGAGCTGCCCATTTGTTTTCTTTTGCTCTGGGGGTTCGGTGCCCTGAAGTTGCTGTGGGAGTTTGCATTTTCTCAATATTGAAGCGTGCTACGGTGTGACCGAACTTTCCTAATGCCAGAGATGTTAGTTGAAACCCCGATGTGAGATCGCTTTTTCTTTGATTCTATACCCTTGATAGTCATACTTGTGCCTTAGATCCCATGCTACACCAGAAATCCGAAAGCAGGCATACCAGGTCCTGTAGCTCCGAATCCTCAGCAGAACATCCTGGAACGAGGCGATGCTTCCCTTCAAGATTCCGCGCCGGGCGTTCGACGAGTGCGTGGCCTTGAGCCCGTTGTGGAACCAGTGCCTCCGGCTTACCATGATCGTCTTGTTTCAGGGTTTGCGGTTTAGGGTCTAGGGCATTTTGGTCTTGTTCCTTTGCATGTGCTGTGTCTTGCAAGTGTTGTTTGATTTTTCAGGGTGTAGGATTTAGGGTCCAGGGTTATTCGATGTTTTCGGGGTGGTTCGTTTCTCTTCCTCTCAATATATGGGCTCTGCGGACAAGTCCTGGGTGCCTCGAAGCCTAAACCTAAACCCTATTAGCCTAAACCCTAAACCCTAAATCCTAAACCCTGAAATCCTAAACCCTAAAATCCTAAACCCAAAAATCCTAAACCTTAAATCCTAAAACCCTAACGTCCTCAAGTCCGAGGCTCGTGGACGCTGCAGCACGGGACCTTCAATGGCTCTACGCCACACTGGTCGGGATCTCGGTTCCTATAAGGGTTCTAGGGTTCCTATAAGGGTTCCTGTAAGGTTCCTATAAGGGCTTCTTTAAGGGTTCTAAATAGGGTTCCACAGTGGGGTTTAGGGTCGGGATCTTGGATAGGATTTGTGAAGATCGTTCGCATGAGGTAGGTTTCGGTTTTCAGACCTGGGTGAGCATAGTGGTCGAGGACTGTCGTTGCTATGTTAGGTCGTACCGGGGGGGTAAGCAGCATGGTGCATCGAGCGACTTTTGCATGGTGTCAACAAATTTGAACTTGGGACACTAAACTGTAAACCCCAAACCCCTAAACCCTTAACCCCAAACCCCTGAACCCTGAACCCCGAAACCCCTAAACCCCTAAACCCTAAACTCCTAAGGTGCTGGCCTGTGTTTCAGGCTTCAGGATTCCAAAGCACGGCTCGAAGACCCTAAACCCAAGCCCAAAGGCAGAACGCAACAGCTGCAAGCAGAATCCTTAGCTGAAGCCACGGTCTATCCAGTGTTGCAGTACTACTTTCTTTATAACTACAGAGAACTGGAGGCTTTTTATTTTGGAGCTTCGGAAAGTTGTAAAGTATAGCATCCGTTCATCTCACCGACTTTTAAAAGGGCTCAGAAGGCAACTCCGTTCCTTCCAGGAGCCCGCGGCAAAAGCGGATGACTTCACGGCTCGGCTGCTGCAGATGTCCAGAGAACTGCACAAAGAGGCCCATACAGAGAGGTGAAAGGGTCACTTCTGGGGTTTAGGGTTCAGGGTTTAGGGTTTAGGGCTTCAGGAATTGAGGTGTAGAGTTGACTGAGTTGGGGTTTTGCCACACGTACCTTCGTGTGGGCTCAGGGGGTCTATGCTGCGCTTGACATCGAAGGAGAATCGTTTTCTCTGTCTGGGAACCCGAACAACCTAAACCCCAAAACCATCAACCCCTAAACGCGCAAATCCTTGCACCTAGAACCGCAAAAGCCCCATGAATCCCAAACCTTAAACCTATTGACATCTCAAGCTCTACACCCTAAACCCCTACAGCCCCGAAACCCAAAGCCCGAAAACCTACTCAAATCTGAAACTCCAAACCCTAAACCCCTAAAGCCTCGAAACCTTAAACCCTGAAGCCCACTAACATCTTAACACTGCTTCAGGGCCTTCGGCAGCCGATGATGCTCGGAATCCATCGCTCGGAAGCTTGTACGGTTAAGGTTTGGGGTTTAGGGTTTTAGGGTCTAGGGCTTTGGGTTTAGGGCTTTAGGTTTCGGGCTTTGGGTTCAGGGTTTAGGGTTTAGGGTTTAGGGGTTTAGGGGTTTAGGGTTTAGGGTTTACGGTTTAGGGGCCCGACGGGTGTTGGCTAGGGTTCGGGGCTTCAATATATAGAACCCCAAATAATTGCCAAGAGTATTCCTTGGGGTTCCTTATTCTCAGTATATGATTAGGGAGCCCAAAACCCTATTGTAATTATCAAGGCCATTCGGGCTTCAGGGTTTGAGGGTTTAGGTTTTTAGTAATTAGGGATCGTGTGGTTTGTGGTTTCGGGTTCTGTGGTGTAGGGTAGGGTTTAGGTGTATATAGGGTTTATATAGGGTGAAATTTAAGCCCTAAACCCTAAACCGTGGTCTTTGGGGCTTGGGTTTAGGAAGGAGAAGGTTGCGGGACATTATGTTATCAAGATCAGGTGCGGCTTTCAGCGTGCTTTCCGAGGAAGGAAATCGAAGCTTGCTCTAGACCCTAAACCCCAAACCCTAAACCCTAAGCCCTAAGCTCTAAACCCTAAGCCCTAAGCCCTCAGCCCTAAGCCCTAAACCCTAAACCCTAGACCGCCGCTTTTTGCTTCTTGTCGTCGGGTGCGGGCTCCGGAGATTCTCAGGCAATACAGGGGCCTTAGTACTTATTTATTTGTTGGGCTACTTTTGGGGGTTCCTTAGTTTAACTATAGTACAATGGGCCCCAAAACCCCGCTCTTATTATTCAGGTGCCCTACTTTAACCTCCAAATCCCACTTTTTTTGACCCTATTATGGGATTTATAGGGGCCCTAAAAAAAAAGAAGGTTCTGGTAGGCTTAGGTATGTTTGGCATGTGGCTGCTGAGGACTACATGCTGCATGAGTCCGGCACTCCACGCTTCCTGCAGGCTCCGTGGATGGGAACCGGGGTTTTGGGCCAGAGTTTAATTAGGGCTTTAGGCCCTAAACCCTAAACCCTAAACCCTACACACCATACTGTAGGGTTCTAGGTTTTTGGGCCAGAGTTTAGGGTTTTGGGGTTTTGGGCCAGAGTTTTGGGTTGCGTGGGTTTAGGGCCAGAGTTTGGGGTTTTAGGGTTTTTGGGGTTTGGTGACATGGAGGCGTTATCAGGTTGAAGCGAGTGCTGAACATAGCGCAAACAGTTGGCTCAAGGTTTCGAGGGCGACGCGAAGGATTCGAAAACGTAGTGCGAACCTGACAAGTTGCAGGTAGTCGTAGGGTTTGGGGATTGGGGTTTAGGGGTCAGGGATAAGGGGTTTAGGGTTTCGGGATAGGGTAGAGATTAGAGTTTAGGGTCGAGCCGCTGTCCTCTGAGCTTGCAAACGGCACCAGTGATGTCAATCTGCGAAGTTTAGGCAACCCTAAGCCCTAAACCCTAAACCCTAAACCCTAAACCCTAAACCCTAAACCCTAAACCCTAAACCCTAAACCCTAAACCCTAAACCGACCGGTCTTGAGCGATCAGGTAAGGGTTGCGTGGGAGCCTTATGCGGGGTTCCGGTCTTTTCTCTTTTCGGGTGAGGCGTTTGTCGGGGAGTTCGGCACCCTTTGGCGCACCAGGTGTAACCAAGGATCATGGGAGGCCCCACTACACCCCAGCCCCAGGTTCCATCCAGAAGCCTTGAAACCCAGTATGTCAGAGAGCACTAGAAACCGTAAACCCTAAACCCTAAACCCTAAACCCTTAACCCTAAACCCTAAGCCCTAAACCCTAAAAGCCCTATAACCCTTGAGCTTTTCCTGCGAAGGTCCCCTACACACTAAACCCTAAACCCTTCCAACCGTCGGCCGCAGGTGGAGCTGAACACCATAGCCTCTTCCATGGCTTCCCACTCTGCGAACGTGCGGAAGCTGCACAATTATGTCTTGGGCCGGTATGGCAGCCAATCAGTGCCTCGGATGCATTCATAAAGTGATCTGCGAACGATTGCGTTAACTGTAGCCCGACACCTTACACACACAAACTCGCAAACCCTAGAATCCTAGATCTCAAGCCCGGAATCTTAACACCCCCTTGACATCCCCATCTCAAAATATTAGGGCCCTTTGTGGATCTACGTAACATCCGATAGTGTAGGACATGATAGGCCATCGCATACACCATGCAGGCTTCTTCTTTATTACTCCGGGCTTCGAAATTGATTAGTGCTCGTATCTGCGGGCTTAGGGGGTATAGGGTTTGGGGTTTAGGGTTTAGGGTTTGGGCTTCATGGCTTTAGGGTTGAGGTTTTTAGGGGTATAGGGTTTAATTCTCGGCGCCGGTGAAGGTTGGGGCTTTGAGGTTTCGGAGTTTATTTAGGATCCTCACAGCATGGCTGAATTGGGCAAATTGTGCAATGCGTGTGTCTTGGAGTTCGTTTCTCTCATTGCGTACACTCTGGAAGGACGTGATTATCCTACGGTTGGTGATATAAATCCTGCATTACCCATAATCAGAAATAGACCATAATTCCAATAGTTTAGGGTCCTTAAGGTGATGCTGGATTCATATCATCAGCAGCAACACCCGAAAGCTGAAACCTAAAGGTGGCTGGCCTCTGTAGGGTTTAGGGTTTAGGGTTCTAGGGTTTAGGGTTTAGGGTTTTAGGGTTTTAGGGTTTAGGGTTGCCCCCTTCTCCAGGACGATGTTGGCCGTAGCCTGCAGGCTCACTTCGGTGTGCCCAGCACGCAGCTGCTCGACCGCACACCTCCGTCAGGGCAACCGGCCGTCTTGGACGAAGCACTAGAGATATTGGGGTTTCCGAAAATTAGGGTACCTTATTTTGGGGTCCTTATAATAAGGATCCTACTATTTAGGGTACTATATGAGGGTCCCCTATTTTCTGAAACCCCCCATATTGGGGAAAATGAAGCCCTAAACCCTAAACCCCTTGTAGAACGTCAACAGGAGACATGAGAGCTTCTCAGAACAAGGGAAGCTAACTCATTATCACAGCCCCCCCCCCCCCCATGACTGAGGTGCGCCCGCTTGCTGTGATCCTTCATGGCACGCAACTTATAGGGACATAGTGACATATAGTACTTCTGTGAACATCTTGAGGAGATCCCCGATGTTAACTGAGGAGATCAGTAGGAGTGGGTTGTTTGGGGGCGTGAAGTCAGCTTCCAAGGATCGTGGACAGACTCCCAGCGAACGTGGCGCTGAAGGACCTGCAAACATCGTCCCTTCCCCACACGCTTAGCATCCTGCATGTGGGTTCTTGTTGCCAGCTTGCTTTACTGAATCCCGCAACATAATGGAATTGCATCCGCAATATTCAATAGTCTAGGAAAGCCTTTTTCAGATGCGCCTAAACCCCTAAACCCTAAACCCCAAGCCCTAAACCCTAAACCCTATTCTAGTTTTCACATCGCGAGTTGAGACTTAGGCTTTGGACTATTCAGGGCTAAAGTGCGCATTGGCGTGAGTTGACAAGTTTAAGTTGGCTTCAGATCGCATCCCATTACAGAAGCCCTTAAAGGAGCCCTTAAGAAGGAGCCTAAAAGGGTTCCTTTTGGGCTTCTAGTAAGCCTTCGATTCGTGGTTTAGGGTTTCTAGCATTGCCTCAAACCTCCCTGCTGTAGGATTCGGCTCTTTGGCTTCATGGCTTCGGGGGTTTTAGAGTTTAGGGCTTCGAGTTTGGA